CATGGGAAAATATGACAGTACGCTGTAGTTGTCAATGACGATGATTTATAAATTTGTTGATTGTTGTGCCTCTTCAAAGGAGTTCTTAAAGGTCCATTCTAGCATCCTAGCTGCTACATTAAAGAAAAAACCTTTCAATTCAAATAATTAATAAGGTTTTTTTTGGTGGCACCGGTAAATTTACCTTTGGACTTGATATTTAAACAGAATGAGCTTTCATTTGAGCAAAAATTTCATAATACGAAAGTAACGCTGTGGAGATGAGGCTGCGCATTACTTGACAGAGTGAATGAACCAATATAACCTCTTCAAAGAAACCTTTTACAAAGTCTCAAATTCATTGGAATGTGTTCATTTCAAAGTGCTGAGATTTAACCAACTTTCAGCACTTCACGTAATGCAATTAGTCTATTCGTTTCATCATGTTCAATAATTGAAAACATTGCCAAAGAGGTGCATTTATTATCCAGTAAACAATCTAAAACCTTTTCGGAATACATTCCAAAGTCTTCCAATATTCATTTTCTAAGGCATTACGTCGTCATAGTTGCTGAAATTGAATTTGTGCTGAATGCTTACTCCAAAAGCGTGTGTTACTATTGGTAACATGGCGCATTAATTTACGTTACCACATTGGCGTTCTTTGCATTCAGTTATTCACTACAACTAAGCATATAGTCACGTTTTATAGGAGGAGAGTTGATAAGCATTTATGAGCGGGACGGTGAAGATGGTGTTTTAAAGTTTGCCGATGAGAAAATGACATCGATGCTCTATGATGATGGGAGAGAGCCGCATCGTGTGAAAATACAGGATTACATCAAGTGGAAGAAATCAGTGGTTAGTACGAACATCAGGGAACATAATCGTCTATTACCATAGATTTGATAAGAACTCTTGCAGAATGTTCAACTCGGTTTAAGCGACATGAATAATAGTGAATCCTTGGAGGCAAAGTTTAAGGAGCATGATGCGCTTTGGAGGCTGAATAAGCGAGGAGTGGAAGGAGAGAACATCATTCACTTACTACTAAACCGGTGAGTCCTTCGTATAAACTGATGTTGATATGCTCCTAACAAACTAAATTCAATAGGACTCATAAACCACTATAAAAGACTCTTTGTCGGAAACTTTGTCTATTGTGAGATTGGATCGTACATACCTAATCTCTGAAAATAAGTTTTTTAAAGTGACTTTCAAGTCAAATGCTTGTTGTTTTTTATGATGTGGCAGGACATAAATCGTTTGTCTCTGGTAGTTTCAAAAATTTTCGTTGGTTACCTTTATTTCCATCCTACATATACTACTTAGCAGATTTCCGCA